CTGAGAAAATTCTTCTCTTTACCATTTCCTAAAGAAAGCCATTGCTTATAATGCTATAAAGCAATAATATGTCTAAAAATCAGACACCTTGAAAATTTGATCTTATTTTAAGAATCTTCGGATCATTAGAAATTAGTCCACAGCCTTGGCTCAGTAGGAATTTGTTTTGTTTAAACATGTAATCTTCAAAGGTTTAATAGAATAATTTAGCTTTTTTCCCCACATAAAGAAACAATAAATTATACAACCTCTGTGATAAATGCAGAAAAATATTTTATCTCTTTTTTTATGGGAGATTCTGCCTTATAATTCAGCCTAGTCAAGTTGACACATTACAAAGCCATAACTGTTGAAAAAAACATTTTAGGATCTATAATCTAAGTAGAGAGTCCAAGTGGTTAGTGTCCATATCTGCTAGTGATTCTTTCTGGAACCTTAGGTAGATCGGTCTCCTAATTTTAACTCACAAAATAGTTGAAGATGTGAGCCATGTTCACAACTAGAGTAGAAGCTGTAGAGTTCTCACAGATCTTTCCAATGGCCTGGATGTCCCCTGAAAGAAGCTGAAAAATGGGAAAAGAAAATTACATTTGTAGTAGACTGCTGGTTGTTTTCTAATATCTAATACCCCCTTCTTCTAGTATAGCTCCCAATTTTTATATGGGTTATGATCACCCAGAATAAAGGCTGCTAGCTTATAGTCAGTTGTGGCCATTAGACTAAGCACTGTCCAATGGGATGCAAATAAAAGTGGTGTATGCCATCTTTGGGAAGAGTTCTTAAGAGAAGTAGAACAACCTTCTTTCTTCTTTCTGGCTAGGTGAAATGAGGATGTCGGAGCTGTAGTAGCCACATTAAGCTATGAGGGTGACCTTGGCAATGAAGGTCAGACATCAGAACAGTAGGATAGAATTAACTTGGGTCCCTCATATGGGAAAGCCCTGTACCACCTACTTCCAGATGTTTATATTGATCAAAATTCTGACTACTGCCTAGATGTACTACTCTCTCTATAAAAAGTTACATGATGGCTGCGGCACAATCTTGATAAGATGTCTGCTTTCAGATTTTTGTGAGTAAAGGTTGGTTTCAACCAATTTTTAAGAATCTTGTCTGTCTTGCTATCATTATTAACCAGAGGGTGAAGTTTGTAGCCAGGGAACAGAGATAAGTTAACTAGTTTAGACTAGCATCAAATCTGCAATCCTGACTTAATTACTATGAGTTAGTTAACAAAATCTACATAAAGATATAAGAGCTGGGATTTTAAGTTAGAACTATATATTTTTATAATTTATGTGTTCATTATGCATATTAAAATCTCACTTATGAGCCAATTTTTGTTATAGTATTTTAAATCAAGAGATTATTATTTTTAAAATGCCTTATCTTTTAACCAACTTTTTTTTGTGTGGCTAGCCAAAATGCCTTTTCTTTTAATTAAAACCATTTCACTGTTTTTGCAAAGACCATAAGTGCACATTTCTTTGACCCTTTCTGTAAAATTGGCACACTTGTTGCTTTCAGTGTTATAGACTGACTGAAATATTTAATTTTCTGTAAAATTTTTAATTTCTAATTAAAAAGTTATTTACTCTGTCTTCTGGATTCTGCCACTCCTATTTCTTGTGGGAATCGTCCTTCATATTGGACAACAAGGAGATCATGGACGACCCTGGGAAGGTGGAGGAAGCCTTTGAGATTGAGATGAGGGGAGAAGTGGAGACAGTGACTGTGGACATCGCTTTCATTTCAACAAGTGTTTTTGGAAAGCGGGACACCCGACTTTTGTATGCTGATGAGAAAGATTTGGCAGGGAGAGATTTTCAGGAGCAATTTAACTGAACAACAGAGAAACCATTATTATCTGCGAAGCACGGTGCTAGATACTGCAGGGATAGTAAGTCTCAGAGCTGGCAGGCTTAGAACCTCGTGGGCAGGTCAGGTTGAAACAGGGAACACGATAAGTTTACAAATATACAGGTATGGTACCAAGTGCCACCGTGGAAGTGAAAATTTAAGGAAAGGAAGGGATAAATCACCTCTACTTGGGTTAAATAGGAAAGGGCTTCATGGAGGAGATGGCACTTGAGGAAGTTACGGCTTTTGCTCTGTAAGTCGGTGTCAAGGTCAAGTTTTCCCAAGGAGGCCTGATCACTTTGTCTTACAGTGATGTCTTTGTGTGTGCATGCTCGTCTCCTGCGTTGAACAGGATTTAGAGCAGTCCCTGTGCTCTGCAAGTCGGTGTCAAGGTCAAGTTTTCCCAAGGAGGCCTGATCACTTTGTCTTATAGTGATGTCTTTGTGTGTGCATGCTCGTCTCCTGCGTTGAACAGGATTTAGAGCAGTCCCTGGCATAGATATCACTCAATCTCACATTACTAAAAGAACATATTACAGTAGAAAATATTAACGAGATAAATGAAGGAATGAATGAATGTATGAATTAAAAGTGGCAGTAAGCTCTTCAGGGGTGGTGGGCCTTGTCTTCCTCATCTTCGAACCTCGGCTTCGCTGGGGCACAGGGCGCACGACTCGGATACCACCGGCGGGGGCGGTATTCGCGACCCAAGCCCTGGGCCGGAGTGACGACTCCGGGCGGTAGGGGGCGCTGGCGCACGGCCGGGTTAGGCCGCGCGGCACCACCCCGCGTTCAGCCGGACCTTCGTCGACGCCATGCGCGCTCTGCTGACACTGCTGCTTACGGGCCGGGGGTGGCGTGCGGAGGCCCTAGCCGCCACCCGCCTGCCGCGGGGAGCGAGCGCAGAGACCGGGCCGCGCCGCGCCATGGCCCTGTACCGCACGGAGGAGCGCGGCCAGCCGCACTCGCAGGATTACCGCCTCTTCTTCAGTAAGTCGCTCACGGTCAGCCGCGCGGCGCCTCGGTGAAGCCTCGGTGGGGGATGGAATGGGGTGCCCTGTGCGACCCGCGCGGCCTCCCTGTCTCCCTCCCTTTTAGGGGCTCTCCTCAGTCGCCGTGTGGTCGAGGCGACCTTCCCGCACCCGGGGGCCCGCGCCGAGCCACAGCAGCTGCCACCAAGAGGGCGGCAGACCAAGGCCCCAAACGCGCAGCGCAGAGGCGCAGAGCGGCTGGCGGTCTTGGCGCCGGGTCGTCCTCGGCCAGGCCAACCGCCCTTCCAGAGCCACGGGCGCAGCGCGCGCGGCCACCCGGCTGCGACCCGCAGCCGTTAGTCGAGCCCGGCCGCCGTTCTGGGATCACAGGACTTGGTGACGAGAGGAAGGCGCCGAGTCCGCCCGCGCGCCCTCCCCCCGGTGGCGTAAGAAAGCTCCTCCTTGCGAGGGCTGACTGCCTTTGGAGGCGGGCGGAACCCTGGAGATGCCTAGTCCAGCGGGTCTGCTCGTTTGGAGGGACTCTGATGAACGAGCTTCCCCAGAAGCATGAATTTATACTTCTAAGTTTGCTCCTTGAATGCGATCCACCTCAACAGCCACGCTGGCTCCAGGGTAGCTCCCCTCTTCCTTTCCAAATTGAAAAGCCCAGAGGGCGAAGCGTCTCGCCGAGGCACAGAGCTGGCCAACGAAGACGGGAAAGCCCCCAGGACTCTGTGACTGTCATTTTTTCTTTGCACCCTGAAGTTTCACTGTGCACGTTAGCTGTAACGTGAAAATAGCGATGTTGGTTGCTTTCACGCTCCACTGACTGCGAGCCCTGAGGCCGGTGGTGGAAGTCGGCCTGGCGTCACCGCGCACCTGTTAGGGGCATCGGCTCTGGAGGCTTTCACGTGTAAAGTCTAATCTTGAATTCTTCTTTAGCTGTGACCCCGGCCACGTTTCTTAACTCTTTCTTCTGGCCTGTAAAACAGGGCTGCAAGAATTTCATGACGTTGTATATGTAAAGTGATTAGTTACAGGGCCTAGAATATAAGTTATTATTATTAATAATACCTGTAATTATTATTGACACCTGTAATTTATAAAGTGTTTACAGATACCCTACCTGAGCTTAGGGTCGAGGATTACCTTATGAGGGAGAAAGCAGTGTGCCTAAAGTCTTGTGATTATAGTGCAGCTGGTACTAAAATTACTATTTTCTTTAAAACTGCTTGCTTTTTCCCTCTATGGCACTTTTTTTTTTTTTTTCCCCCATCCTTGTTTGGTCAAGACTGATCAGGTGAATAGGAATCCTTAACAAGAAGTCTCAAATTTCTGAATGGATTGTGTTCCAGAAAGTTACAATGTGTGATTACAGGCAATAATTTTCCATAGAAACAATGTTACAAAATAGCAGTTAGCTTTATAAGCAGATACAAGCCTGCCTCTCTCATAATATGGTGAAAGTATTCTAGATTTGCAATAAGTACAGTAATTGGTGATAGACAACAAAAGTCAAATATTTATGAAGTGTGCTAGATATAGTTAGGCATGGTACAGAGGAGATTTAGTTGTGAGCTTTGACCTCAAGAGATTCCTAATATCAATGCGATTAATTAAGGAAAATGTGAAAACACTGGTGAATATTTTACTTATATGTTGGTTGAATAAAAACATTCTTGGGTCTGGAGCACACAGCAGTTGACCAAGCACTGGACTTGGAGTGGAGAGTCCTAGGCCTTAATCCTGCCTCTGCTGTGTGTGGTTGGGCAAGAATTACATCATTTCTTTCTCATGGGGCCAGTTGCTTCTGCCGTAAAAACGTAGCAGTTGACCTTGAAGTGATCCTCAAGGTCCTTCTCAGCGTTGGTAGTCCTTGGAGGTATTGGATGAATAATAGGGATTCTAATGGTCTCTGTTGGGGCAAGGCTTCTATTGGGGCATTACTGAGGTTATATTGGCCTCTCGCTGTGGTTTGTTTCTTTAGCTGCAAATTTACTCGGGACTCATGATTTTTCTGTAACTAGAATGCCACAAATAATTTTTTTTTTTCACTCAGTTGGATTAACAGGGTGGAAAAGAAGGGGAGAAAAAAAAGGTTTCGTTTAGGTAAATGGGCAAGAATTGGAAGAAAGAAGAATGTGGGGTGGGGGTGGACCTCCAAAAGGTGAGATCTTAATTGGAAGTATGTTTGGTTAAACAATTTCTGAAGTAACCACCAGATGGCATCATTGGCCCAGGACTGTTTACTTGCTGGAAGAGGTAGGGCAAAGTGAAAGGAAGCCACTTCAGGGTGAGTGGGGTGAGGTGCAGATGATGAACAAATTGCTCTTTTAAAGATGTTCACAAATTGGATATTTTTTTTAACTCAGATGGTGTCTATATGTAATACTAGGGTGTGGTTCTACCTCACTTCAAAGGAAAACATGAGTATACCACTACTTGTCTGAAAATTGTTATTCAGCATTATTAAAGTGGAGTTATTTTCCACATTTCCAAATCTATCTCAAGTCTCTGAAATACTAGTGCAGTGGGAGGTAGAACATTTTTGAGCTTGATCACTGTAAATGGTTTTTCTTTACTGCCATTCAGAAGAATCAGAATAAATGGTTGATGTATTACTTTTTTAAAATTGGTGTTGAACTTTGTAGGAACTGTATTGAAGTGAGACAGGATGATACAGGGGAAATAGCATCCTGGTGGGAATCATCAGGCCTCCTTGGTGCCAGCCCTGGCCCCGTTAGTAACTTGCTCTGTGGGCTTGGGTCACTTCACCTCTCTGTACTTCATTTTATTAAACCATGGAGTCAGGAGATTGGATTAGATGATCGTTTTCCAAACTGCTTAGTTGAATACAAGCATCCCATGGGATATTATTATTAGGTTTTCTTTAAACAAGGATTTCATGGTTTAATAAATCAGAACACTTTCTATTTTATCACTTTCTTGGAGAGTACTGATGTTCATATTAAAGTTCTGAAAATTTCTAATGTAAAGTAACTTGTCCCAAACTTTTGAACCACAGAGCACTTATTTCTTAGAATGTTTGTTAACATCTTAGTGACACTGGAGTTTCATGGAACTCAGTTTGGGAAGTATTGCATAGGATGATTTCTGCAACTCCCAGAAGCAACTGTGTTGTAACAGTTCTCAACTAAAACACTTAAGTTATAGCACTAACTTTACCGTCTTAGGCAAGACACTTGACTGAACTAAGCACCAGGTGACATCCCGTAGTTCAGATGATGTCCCTTAGCTCAGTTTCTCCATCTGTAAAATGGGGATAGCACTAATAATTTTATAGAATTGCTGTGGCAGTTATATGAGACTGTGTGTGTAAAGATTACTTCACACATGGTAGATATTTAATGTATATATTTTTTTCCGTTTTGACTTTGACGTTAGACTAAAATTCTTATTGTTATATTCTGTGAAGGGTGAAAAGTAATGGGATGTGGATAAAGTTGAATATTTTGAAAGTGTCCCTATTTATTAATTCTTAGGTCTCAGAGTTTTAATGGGTACTGCCCGGAAGTCTTTTCGATTAACTGTGAAATTGTAGTGAAGCTAGACTTGTTTACATGGCACCACAGACCTAGCACTGCATGTCAGTATTCCTTTGATATATTGCGTGGTTTTGTTTGTTTTATTAATAACTTGAAAGTTTATTATTTTAGATTTTAAGCTTTTCTCAAAGGATAGGGGAAAACTATGCCTTTCATAATTTGGATTTTTGTTACTGTGAGGTAGGTGACTGGTTTAGTTGGAGAAACAGTGCTGTGGATAATTCAAGTTGCTTTTATTTAGCCTAAGAATGAATCATGCAGTTCCTTAAAATTAATTTTCTTAGTCATTTATAGTGAGCATATACTTATGTTGAAATTTTTAAGTACATCATTTTAGTAGTGGGTATATTCTGCCATTGAATGTGCCATACATTTGGACTTAACTTCCTATGAATATTCCGCAAAATATGTTTGAGTCTTAAATATTCCTGTAGCCTTTTTTTTTTTTAAGTTGGCCCATATCATAGAACTTGAATTAATATAGTAGAACATAATGGGTATTGGGTGAATATAGAAAAATTATTTAATTTTCAGTCCCTAAACCTTAAAACAGCTTAGTTTTCTAAATAGAGTTCTGTGAAATATGAATCTTGTGTTCTATGTAGAACAGAGGAAACATTTTTATTATTAAAATTGATTTTTAAACATTAATTTTCTTAATTTTTCATCAGAAAATAAATAAAACAAAGCTAGCTTTAGTCATTGCTAAAGCTTCCAATCAGAATCTCTATAAATGGTTTTAGTAATAGTGTGTAATAGTATGTTGGTACTTGGCATACATATAGCTATTTGATATATAAAATGAAACCAGATAGCTTTCATATTCCATTCAATTCTCACTTGCTAGTATAAGTAATAAACTTTCATCCTGATACAACTTGCTGTTGTGAGAGAAAAACACATGGATAAGTTACAAAATGATAGAATAAAATCTAATTTCAGACCAGTTGAAGGGGAAGTTTTGACACTGTTAGACAATGTCTTGTGTATATTGATGGGCCTGATAGAATTCATTAGTATATGCCCAGGGATGCAGTCTAATTTTTGAAAACAGTAAAATACCAAAAGGGCATGGTGACTAAAATAATTGATCTTATCTCCCTCATAATAAAGTAGTATTAAAGTGATAGTAAGTGAGGAGTAATACAGGGTATGCCTAAAATAACAAGTAAGAAGGAGCCATCAGAGCCTGAGATTTCAAAATATTTTTTTTTTTTGTCTTTTTGTCTTTTTCCGTGTCCGGCAACGGATCGCAACCCTCAGTGTCGCCCCTGCACCGGACCGGGGACCGGCAACGGGATCGCAACCCTCGGTGTCGCCCCCACGCCTCGCTCAGCCAGTGAGCGGGAACCGGTCTGTATGTGGGATCCGAACCCTCGGGCGGGAGCGCCGCCGCGCTTCCCAAGCGGCGCACTCATCCAGTGCGCCACCGGGCCAGCCCTCAAAATATTTT